AAAAAAAAAAAAAAAAAAAAAAAAAAAAAAAAAAAAAAAAAAAAAAAAAAAAAAAAAAGAAGACACATCAGTAACATGGCCCCAGCCAAGGTGAGAATCGAATTGAGCCTCTTTAAAAATGTGGGGAGCCTTGAGCACTGTTGAATTTAAAAAAAAAAAAAAAAAAAAAAAAATGGACGGCCGGCGACGGCCGGCTTCTGAAAGGGGCCCGGGGCCGATGGCTGGCATGTACTGGTCCTTTAATATCCAGAGACGTCAGGTGAAGTTTATTTGTGGATTTTACTTTCTTTGGTGTGAATTTGACTTTCTTCCAAGCAGCAAATGGGAAAGCAAAGCCCGACAGATTCGTCGCATCCTTCGTATGTGGAAGTAGACCTTTTCTTGTCGGTAAACGATAACATTATAACACCATGAGAATCTGTCTATTTGCCATGAAAGTTGATGAAACAAATCTTTTTTCTCACTAAAAATAAAAAATAAAAAAAATCAGACTGTCCTTGACTCCTTGATCACCTTTCTTTGCCCTCCGTGCGTGCTTTTGTGGTTGTGCTGCTTGTGCATGCATTTCGGGCCATGGATCAGCAGCTCCTCGGACTCGTCATTCGGGATGGACATCCTCAAAAGGATCATGCAGACAAATCCTCCTGCTATGCTCAGTTGATGACTCATGCCAAAGCCTCCTGCTTGATTGGTGTTGTCCTCTTCGGAGCCATCAGCAACTATGAATCAGCAGAGGACAAGCCTCACGGACATAACACACACACACACACACACACACACACACACACACACACACACACACACACACAGGTACGTACACACACAGGCACACATAAGCATCCAGGAGGACATACACGATTCTCTGCTGTCAAGAGTCTTCTCCTTTGCTTAAGCCCCTCTCTACCCCCCCCACCATCTTACCCTGTTGCAATATTCATACCCTCCTCGTCCCTACATCTGCACTGCCCCCCCCTCCCCCCTCCCCTCTCCCCTCTTCCCTCTCCCCTCGTTGGCCCTGCCTCTGCACAACCCTTTCCCCTCTGCCACTACCCTGTCATCACCAGTTGGCAATCATGAGTCCTGTCCTTTCAGAGGTCAATGGTTCTTCTCATTTCTCTCCCTCCCTCCCTCCCTCCCTCCC